CCCCAAAACCCCAAAACCCCAAAACCCCTTTTTTCTGGAGAATTATAGAATTAATATGAGAAGAAAATGTGGAGTGGCTTGAAGGTTGGGAAGGATGAGGCTAGGAATGTGGGTTTGGATCTTGGGTTTTGGGGAGTATTGAAGGATGGCTTTTGTAGATGAGGGTTTTAGATGGAGAAATTTATGATTCTGAGGTACTTTTATGGATGGTGAATTAAATAGCTAAGTAAAGAGTTTGAAATATAGTTTCTCTTATTTTGGAGATATTTCTACTCCAGGAATGTTGATAATTAATTTTAAAGGTCAACGATATCAATTAAAAAGAGCTGTGTATATTTATCTAAATACTCAGTTTGGACATAAAAACTCAATTCAGTTTATAATCCTTTCTGGCACTCTTCTCATTCTAGTCCAAATTTGTGTGTAAAAATATGCCCTAAAAGCAGAAGATAAAATCTCTGAGCCCGTCTTCAAAATGACTTCTAGCAGAAAGAACATTGTGAGAATTCTCTCAGTTGAGAATCGTGATCGAGAGCAGCCAATGGGTTTATAAACTACTAGAAGAATTTCAAAGATAACAAGTATCGAAGAGAGCAAAACTCTTAGAAGATTCCTTTAAAAATGATATTGATTGAAGCCAAGTCAAACTGTTACATTGTTTTAATAAAATGAGAAAATATTTGTAACTAAGAGTCCAGTAGAAATCTGATCTTAAGACTTTACAGATCTTACTTGCCTGGTGACAAACAACTCATGCCCAATCATATATAATGAATAATGCTTTAATTAACCTTATTCGGGTACTAATATAAAATAGGATTTTGAAGAAACTCAAAGAGTGTTGGAAGCGAGGTAAACTTAGTTTGTTGAAGCTTTTCCTTTGAAAAGATTATTCATACTTATGTTGACGATGTCTAATATGATTCCTAGTCTAGGTTAGTATAAGGAAACTCTGTAATAATATAAAGAAATGCGATATTTAAAGCAAGCTGTACAGAAGAGGATAGAAGGCTTATTGATAATGATTACTTGGGAAGGGCCATCTGAACAGTTAAAAATTTTGTAGTAAGAAGAAATCTGTAAAGAAAAAATAGCTGGATTCATCAGAATTTCACATTCAGACAAGAGATAAAGATGACAAGGATTATAAATATATTTATCAGTGTCATAAAGATACACAACGCTTGTTTTCTACAATTATTTCTTATTTACAACTCCAGAAGAAAGGAAGAGAGGATCAAGGTTTAAAATCAACATATCCAGATTCTAGTAAAAAAGTGGAGGAGGGTATGTCAAAAAGATTGCAAAATCCAAAACCCTTGAATTTTTTGGAACTTTTGATTTGTATCAATTTAATTAATTTGACAAGCTTTAACATGCTCAATAGTTCCTAAAACTCCCAAAATGTGACTTCCTGCCTTAAGCTCTCTTAGTAACCCTGGTATATATCCTAGGTGCTATCGAATGATAAAGGCTAGTTTGGATGGACCTTCACTCTCTATAACCAAACAAGTTTCTCTCTTCCTCAAGTTGCATTGGTAAGAAATTTCTATTAGGAATTTTCAATATTGATTAGTGGAAAAGGGGTTTTGGGGTTTTGGGGTTTTGGGG